TTGTTTTTTTTTTTTGTTTTTTTTTTTTTTTTTTTTTTTTTTTTTTTTTTTTTTTTTTTTAATGTAGAATATTTTGCCTTAGGCTGGAAACCAGCCTGGACTTTGTGATACTCAAACTGATGTCGCTGCTGAGCCATGGCTGCCACTGGCACAGAACAGCCCAAATCCCTGTCCTGGTGAGAAGAGTCCACAGGATCAGCACTGGGAAGGTTTCATTTGTCACTGGCACAGCCATTGGAAGTTTAAAGTCTTCAGCATGTGGCTCCATTTCAATAATGTCCTTCCACTACCCCAAAGTAGGTAATTCCTGCTCATTTAACAAAGCCTTTTCCATGTGCCAGAGGCACGAGGCAGGAGCCTGTGCTGTTCCTAAAGGGCCCCTTGGCTTTTGGGGAACCCTCCTCAGCTTTGGCACCTTCTGAAAGCATTTCAGGCCTTCCCAAAGTATTCAAGCAGAGAAAAACAAACTGGCCATGATATTTCTAGAAGTGGGAGGTGTTTCTTGCATTTAGGGATAATTGTCCTGCTTTGGCATCCAGCCCCAGAGCTGCCTCCAATGGATTTGCCCTCTGTAGCTAAGTGGGGAGGGTGAGTCCCGTGCCCAGGGATGGAGGGGCTGGCACGGGCACCCTCCTCAGCTGCACCAGGCCCAAGGGGGTCTCCAGAGCTTGGGGTTCCCAGAATGGGGGCTGGGACAGGAGCAGGACATGGAGCAGCACATCCCAAAGGGATGAGTAGCCTCTGCCCTGCCAGGCAGTGGGCAATGGGGATGCCCTGGTGGGGCTGATGCAATGGGGTCAAGATCAGTGGGGAAGATGAGCTGGGAGAGGTCTCTCAGCCCCTGGGGAATATTTGGGGTCTGGCCTGGGGCTGTGCTGGTTCCCAGGCCAGGCTGTGATGATTATCCAAATTCTGCCCCCTTTCCATCTTGGGGCATCCCTCGGGTTTGGTGGGATTTGTTCACAGATGCAGCAGGGTGAGGAAATTCTCCCCAGGGCTGCAGGAGGCATTGGCTCTTAGAGAAGCATCCCAGGAGCTTCCACTGCACTGTCACCAATCCACAGAGCAGGGGCGACTGGCTGGGCTCCTCTGGCAGCTCAGGAGGGCTGATATCTGCTGGATGGTCTGCAGAAGAAACACCATAGAGGACCACTTCTCAGGACAAGTCCCATGGCCCTTCACCACTTCACTGCCACCTGACCCTGCAGCCTTGCAATCACCTGGCTTAGGAGGTGACCTCACTGTCCCCTGGTCCCTGAGCTGTCCCACAGAAGGAAAACCTTCTCCCACACCATGGTGAATCTGTGGGGCATCATCTATCCCAGTCCTGTGACAAGCTGGTGCAGCTGGGGGTCTCCTGTCACCCCCCAGTGCTGGACTGCGAGCGTGGCAGTGAAGATGAGTCCCAAAGGACACCAGAGGCTCAGTCCCAAAGGACACCAGAGACTCAGCTGTTATTTCTAAGTCTGTCCTGGATGCTCTGGGAGCTGTTGACTTTGTGAATTCCAT